TTATATTTTGCGAATTACAAGTTTTGATACTTCATCTGATATTTAATGTTCGATGATAGAGTCTTTCAAAGTATTGAATCAGATGTAATGCTGTATTATAAAATACACCCTCTGATTTTTGGCACAAGTTTGGTTTTTGCCGAGGACGAGTTTTATCACTACAACAATCATTATTAACGATTGAAATACAAATACCAACACGGGAGACCTTCTTGCGAAAGAAAATCGAGGAATTCGTCTACGCGTTTGGACAAATAAAGCTGATCAAATACTTTTAACATCTTGAATGAAGACTATTTTGGCATGGGACTGCAAGCAAAGGTTTTGGACTTAGTTTGACATGTTTTGAGATGGCAGCAATTTATACACAAGAAATATACAATTAACTGGAGATATCTGGGTTATCCATATCCATTGATCCCATCCATGAACTACAGATCAGCAGCTAAGATCGGTCACAATATCAATAGGCATCGGACTATACTACAGATGCACTTGACTTATGGCAGAGAGACCATTGAATTACCATTTAGACGATAATTCCATTTATAATAAGTCACTGAAAAATCAGTCGCTGACAAAGTTAGCCTCTACATTTATTTTGTTTGCAAAGAATAGAAAAGGTATTCAACACAGTAGGTTCATAAAGAGAAAATAATATCTACCGGATAAAGAGGATAACATGTGAGGTGTTCTGAGTTGACATTAATCAGCCTCATACATATCAGACTCGACTTTTAATCACGATATTATTTCTCATTTCTTTAATTTTTATCTTTGCTATTCGGAACAATACACTACTTGATACTTTCGCTGAAGTTGAATAGTCATCAAATGAAGCAAGAATCAAATCTGTCATTCATGTGTATCTCTAGTATTACAAATTTGACTGGAAATAATAATAGTTTTAAATTCTTATTCTGCCGATAAAATATAGTCAATTAGTAATAAATTGAAAAGAAATGTTTCAGTAACAAAATACATGTATGATGTAGTTGTATCAATAGTTAACAAAAAGACATTGGAATTCTTCATGTCCTTACAAGTTTTGAAGTATAAAATAACCTTTTTTAATAATATTTATTTTAGACAGGGGAAAACAGAACCAGTCGCAGATCGAGTAAACTTGAGTGTTAGTTAAATGAGTCTACTATACAAACCCGAATATAATATAGATCCGCCTTGTTTGAGGGTGCAAGGGACCAGATATTATAACATATTACAACCAGGTTGCCTCTAAGGTCTGCCTTCAGACAAACATTATCCTTTCGACGGCAGTAACGAAATAAACCTGAAAAAAAGAGGATTCATATAACCAAGGCATTACCGTAGAACGGCCGGAGATTTTGCACAAAATCTATATATTCAAAAACGTCTTCTGAAGTTTTGAAAACATATTTGAAATTACATTCTCTCATCATAAATTACTGAAATGTTATATGTGATAGGAAATGGGGTCTGATTTTGGAAATGCTTGAATTGCATATTTTGCATTTTTAGAACGATGATGGCACAGGCTATACGTCAGCCATAAAACGTACTATTCGAACAACAGACGATCAGCCAATAGTGCAACCCTACAGACAGATCAATCACTGTTCGTTATCTTTACCTTTTACACGAATACCTCTATCACAATGCAAGGAAGTGAAATCACATGAACAATAATATTTTAAGGGAGAGTACCAGTCCGTACGCATCATCGATTGTGTTAGTCGGAAAGATAATTCAGTCCGCTTATGTGTGGACTATCTTAAACTAAATAGCAAAACTCACTAAGATGCCTATCCACTACCTAGATAAGAAGAAGCATTTGACGCTCTATGCGGTGCTAAATTTTTCTCGACAACTGATCTCCCCTGTGGGTATAACCAAGTAGCTGTCCATGAAGATGATATCGAGAAAACAGCATTAACAATGCCCATGGTTCTGTATGAATATCTGCGTATGTCGTTTGGATTGTAAAAAGCCCCGGCAACGTTTCAAAGGGTTATGAAACAGACCTTTAGGGATGAAATATTTAACATTTTACTAGTGTTTTGGATTATATTATTGTATTTTCAGAAGATATTTCAGAACATTGAAGCGACCAGAAAATGTGTTTAGAATCATCCGCAAAATGGATTAAAATTAAAAATGTTAGTGCAATATTTTTTCTTCAAAACTAAAAATTGTCAAAGTGCATGTTTTTTTGTCAAAGTGAAGTTCATTATCTCGGACATGTTATATCTTCAGAGGGAATTACATGTAAAACTTACCCTGAAATAAAATCAGTGCTGAGCAGAATTTTGAAAAACCGACTGTAAAAAAAAATGTGAAAAAACTCAAGTCATTCCTTGGGCTGGATACTACAGACGTTTTGTGAAAGGATTTAGTAATATAGCATCGCCATTTACACCTTATCCAAAGAAACCGTTTGGAAATAAATGAAAATCTCAGTGTGATGACACTGAGTTTATTAAATTAAAAAAGCTCCTTGTGAGTTCTCCTATCTTAGGATATGCAGATTTCCAAAAGGCATTTTTTCTTGAAACAGAAGCTAGTATGCTAGGTTTAGGAGTCGGTCTATCGCAAGTCAAAGAAGGAAACTAACATGTCATCGCCTACGCTAGCAGATCCTTAAGACCAAGTGAAAGGAACATGCAAAACTATAGTTCTCGAAAGTTGGAATTACTGTCGTTAACCAAGGCCATAACAGAGACGTTCAAGGACTACTAATAAATAGCTAGGATCAAAATTCACGGTGTTCACTGATAACAACCCGTTGTGTCATCTTAAAATATCAAAACTCAGTGCAATTTAACAACGATGGCTTTCGAAATTAGCGATGTTTAACTTTGATGTGAAGCTCCGACTAGGCCGTCATCACGAAACTGCGGATGATCTTTAATGTCTCAGTGATCTTGATGATGCATCGCGGCATAGTGATTTAGAGATTCTACCAGAGAAGTTCTCCGACTGTAGAAAACTGCCTTCGGATCTACAGAAACAAAGTGCATCGAGTGTAATTGTAAATGAAGTTTACGACACTAATCCGTTTCTTAAGCTCGACGAGATATATGCAGTCTCTTCAATCAGCTGATTCAAACAGCAACATTTCTGAAGATTTTTGATGAAGGATATAAACCAACAAAATTTGAAATCAGAAAAATTTCCAAAAGCTGTGGTTGAACATTAGTTAGAAAGTTGGACAAAATTGGGATTATTAAAGAAATTCTTAACAAAGGTCGCAATTATTATATTTAAACAATAAAATGCTTTCTTTGGTTGTTAGTACGGGAATCAATGTCACAGCTGTTGCAGAATTTTTTTCTGCAATAGCTGCGACGTTAATTCTCGTACTAACAAAGAAAGAAAGATATTTATGTTCCTTTGTTATTGTTGCAAGTCTGAAGCCAAGTCAACTGAGCTAGTTTTTTGATGGATAGAAGAAAATAACAACAGTGTTGAAAGTGAAAAAATGTCATTTATTTAAGTAAATGACGCAAAACAAAAATACACATAGTAAGGGGGTCAGAGAGACTAGAAAAACTTCTAAGAACACAAAAATCTTTGGCATCATATTATGCAAACTGACCCCCTTTAAAATAAACATACCATAAAGCAGGCACTGATATGCGTGCCATCAAAAAAGGGTGGGATAAAACAAAATGAACGCGCAAAGTATGATCTCTAATACATGAATAACAATAATAATAATAATAAAAAAAAAAAAAGACGGTGGAAGAAAGGGGATGGATGGAGGGTTTTTTCGACAAAATTTTCCCTTGCAATTTAGCGTGGCTTTTTCCTCTGGTAAATAAATAAACAATGGTCACGTGATTGGGAGAAGCCACGCTGATTGGCTGTATATTAAGACAATGGTGTCATCGATTAAAAATAGGCAATTGATCCCGAGATAAATAGTTTGTAAACATCAAACAAAATTACAACAATTACCAAAATACAATCATGTCACATCAAAATTAAATTAAAACAAATAAAACAAATACAGTTTCTTTATCTCCGTCACATAAAGGATATTATCATTTGTAAATAATAATAACTGATTTATGTTCCTTTGTTATTGTTGCAAGTCTGAAGCCAAGTCAACTGAGCTAGTTTTTTGATGGATAGAAGAAAATAACAACAGTGTTGAAAGTGAAAAAATGTCATTTATTTAAGTAAATGACGCAAAACAAAAATACACATAGTAAGGGAGTCAGAGAGACTAGAAAAACTTCTAAGAACACAAAAATCTTTGGCATCATATTATGCAAACTGACCCCCTTTAAAATAAACATACCATAAAGCAGGCACTGATATGCGTGCCATCAAAAAAGGGTGGGATAAAACAAAATGAACGCCACAATCCAATTGCAAATTGGATCCACCCACCCAAGGCGACTTGGCAAGGCGCAAAATAAAAAGGAGACAAATGCTCATGATACATGTTAAAGTATATGTCATAACAACAAAAAATTAAATAAATATGGACATATATATATATATATATATATATATATATATATATATATATATATATATATATATATATATATAATACAACACTAGCTAATAAAAAATAGTTCTATTGAAGACATTTTGTTATTTGACATTAGAGCATGTGGTGGCCAGCAAGATAGCTATGTTCAATATGCCCTAAAAAAAAAGTTTTTACCAATAATGTTATGTACAAACATAGGGAGATAGAAAATTATGTCAGCAGAAGACTTCTGACCTGACATGTTGAAAACAATAACTTTCAGGCAGCAGAAAACTTCTGACCTGCCGTGTACCCAAAAATATGTGTATGGAACAGGATCTGACCAGGGATTGAAAGACAGCAGAAAACTTCTGACCTGTCTCCTATATACAAATGCTTGATAAAGGGCAGCAGATAACTTCTGTCCTGCCCTACAAAGTCTATGTGGTTATTTGTGACAGCAGAAAACTTCTGACCTGTCTAAAAGTTTTTCTTACACATATGTATGTTTTGGGGGGCTACACCGGGGTATGCACTAAAAATTTGAGCATGTCAATTACTTATAGATGAAAGGACTTAATACGAATGTAGTGCTTAAAAGCATCGGAATTCCACCTTCCCAGTTTTTGAATGACATTGTCTGAAAAACCAAGTGAGGCTGCATGTGTTGCTGCCCCAATTCTGAAACTGTGACCTTTAAATTGATCCGGACTTAGTCCAATAAACTGAATTGCTGCTTTGAGATGTGAAGTAGCAACCGAGTATGTAATTGGCAAGCCATCCATGGTCTGGAACAATGGCCCGGATGTATGTTTGTACAAGGCAAGATACTTATGCAACGCCTTAACTGGACAGTATAAGGAACTGGGACATGCTTGAAGGAAAATGATTATTGGAGCATGGTGTTTATTCGTTTTATAATCCCTCATAATTATTTGAACTCCCTCTAACAAAGCGTTTTCCTGTTTGAATGTGATGTCAGACCTCTGTAAAATACAATTCGTAGCTTTAACTGATTTCGCTGTTATTTCCCCTAATCTCAGAAAAGCATGAAAGGCTACCAAGAAAAGTGCTTGCAAAAGAAGTCTGAGTGAATACTGAGACACAGTGTGTTCTAAGGCTGCAATGAGTTTCTGTAAGATAGTTGCTGTGATAGGCAGGCGTGTGTCCCTCCTTGAGCCTACAGCTTGACACCCTTTAAGAATTTTTTTGGTCACAAAGGCTTGAGTAGGGTCTGAGATACTACATAACTTGTGAATGAAACTGATAGCTGAAATGTGGGAAAAAATTGTACTGGGTGAGTAATTTTGAAGAAATAAATGGCCTATGAAGTTACAAACATCTGTCACTGAGACTGGAAGTGATATGTCAGGTTTCCATTTGAGGAGCAAATTCCAACTTCGGCGATAAACTTTTGAGGTTGATGATGAGAGAGCAGATTCTAGTAGTTTCATGCAGACTGGATTCAAATTGTTAAGAGGTCCTTGGGAACTTCTGTCTGTACAGGACTGAGATGAGGGGCTATCTGGAAGGCTTCCTGCAATTTAAATCATGAAAGATGATCTGCCAGAGTATTTGTTTTGCCTGGAATATGTTTAGCTTTGAAAAGGATGTTGTGTGAAAGTGCTGTTAGAACTAATCTGCGAATCAAATTCATGAGAATTTTGTCTTTACAAGTCTGTTTATTAATGGCATGTACTATGGCCATGTTGTCGGTCATGAATAGGAGCTTTTTGTTGGCTAAAGCAGGACCCCAGATTTCCAGTGCTAACACAATGGGTAACAACTCTTTAATGGCTATCTGGTATTGTGCTAAATCTAGAACTTCCTCCCAACTTAATGCAAACCAGTTGGTCCCCAAAACTGCCGCAAAACCCAATGAGCCTGATGCGTCAGTAAATAACAATTCTTTATCGGAAGATGACCAAACATCAGGAAGTATAACTGACCTGCCATTATAAGATTCTACAAAATGTGACCACATATGCAAGTCCGCTCTTGCCTCACAAGTTAGGCGGATGAAATGATTAGGGTTGGAGACCCCACATGTTAAATCAATGAGGCGACGCAAAAAGGTTCGACCTGGAACAACAACTAAACAAGCGAAATTTAACAATCCTATCAAAGATTGTAGGTTATGTAAAGTAATTTTCTTTCTACGTTTTGCTGCTTGTAAACTGTCCCTGACTTTGTTTAGTTTAGATTCAGGCAAACGACATACCAATGTATTCGAGTCAATCTCAATCCCATATATGGTTAATACGGTAGTAGGAAAAACTGTTTTTTCCTCTTTGATGGGTATGCCTGATTTTGCACAAATAGACAAGAATCTTTCAAGATCAGCTTGACATTTAGTAGAACCCTTGGGCCCGATAAAGAAAAAATCGTCTAACATATGAGACATTCCGGAAGCAGAAAATTTTTCACACATTGCCCACTGCAAACTACTACTAAGGCGTTCAAAGATCTGATACGAACTACTCGCACCCATTGGTAGACACTTATCATAGAAGAACCTACTGTCCCAAGAAAATCCTAAGAGTTTGTAATCATCAGGATGAATTGGAATTATGCGGAAAGCATCCTGAATGTCTGTCTTAGCCATCAATGCACCGCGACCAAATTTTCTAAGTAGGTCTGTTACAACATCTAAAGAGTCATATTTCACTTTTGAATTTTCTTCAGGGATCATAAAGTTGACTGAATTATGTTTTGGAAAAGAGAGATCGTGTATAACTCGGAATTTACCAGGGTCTGATTTAGGAACAACTCCTAAAGGAGAAGATACAAACTGGGAAAATGGTGTAGAGGGGAAGGGTACAGCTATTCTCCCTGATTCAATACCACTATTAATGAATTCCTGTATAACAGAACTATGTTCAAGTGCACTTTTATGATTCCTAGATATTTTTGAGCTTGGTATACCACTACAACCTAAGTGAAAACCATAGGTGAATCCATTTTTGATAACTAAAAGTTTGTCTTTGTCATAAGCTTGCAGGATTTCAAGCAGATTTTTTACTTTGATTGGAGTTGGGAGTTCTTGAGTGTGAATTCTGCATACTGGGCTTGGAAGAATCTGTGCATTTGGACTTGGGATGGTTTCCTCTGCATTGCATGCAGATGTGACGAAAGGGACAGGGGTTTTTACTACAACGTTCCCCTCTGTTGTATTGAAAACAAAACTTGATGCGAAAGGGCTGGGTTTGATTATTCTGTGATTGTTTGGGAGGGAAAGCTTTTGAGAGTGTGGCTGCCCTCAGCCTTAATTCCTGAATAGGTTGCTGCCAAGGTACATTAACAGTTTCTTTTAACTTTCGAAACTGCTCATCATATGAACGAAATGCATTGTCCCCATGAAGTTGTTGAATTTCCCTTACCATGTGCCCATACTTTAAAAGATTGGGGGCTTCAGCAGGGTACTTTTCAATGTACACTGCTGCAAACAAAAAGAAAGCATCTGTCCATTGGGAAATACTTATGGGGCTTTTGAATTTTGGACTTTGGTGCAATTTTATGACCCCAGTGGAAATCGAAACACTCAAAGGTTCTTCCCTTGTATTTTGTAGGGATCGAAAGTCAATGAATTCATTATTCCAAATTTTTGTCTTAAGTTTGCTAGAAACTGAAGACCAAAGGGGAATGCCATCACTAACAATAGTAGATGAGTAAGGAAGATCAGTTGCCCTTGCTGGCTCACCTGCAAAAACTTGATCTAACAGATCCCCCAACAATGGCGTTGAACTTGACACACTGTTTGTTGGTTGCAGAGATGAAGGACCTGGAACTGAAGGTGGTTGTGGATCTGCTGTAGGTTTTGGTGATGTGTCAGCTGAGTGGGACGTAGGTCCTGGCACTGAAGGGGCCTCCTGAGTTGGAACGTTTAGCCCATTGTGCCCTTGTGAGTGCTTTAGAATTGCCACAGCTAATTTGTCATAGTCAATGTTTGTGAGTCCATTGTTTTGAGCAGGTGGTCCCACAGGCGGCAGGTCTAGTGATATGGCTTGACTTCCTTCTGTCGGTTGGACTGCCCTTCGCTTTTTGGCTGTTGTAGCACCTGAGGACTTCTGTCCCCTCTTTGGAGGCATGGCTGTACACCTGGACAATAAAGCATAATGAACACAATTAATAATTATTCATTGAATGATACTGAAATGTCCCAAAGGGCTCAGTAGAAACACAGATATATAAATATTTATATACACATGTATATGTATATATATAGCCTTGGACACAAAATAAACATATACAGCCTCAATGCTACATAATACAGATTATGGCTAAAGAATGAGGTATAAATTTTTATACAATTTTTATCATTATACCTGAAAAGTAGCTGAAAACAGAACAACACCAAAGGAGAATCTGAAGCTTGTCTGACCCAATTTTAAGATTTAAAATTTTCAGCTAGTTAAACAAATTAGAAGGTTACAAAGACCTGAAGCCATACCTTAGTGAAATATATTGTATGTACATATGATGATTACAAGGATGTTGTGTGTGGTCCCGCAACAGTTGAATATATAACCATATTTTATAGAGTGTATAAAAATACTGTCGAGTAAACAGTAGTGTCTTATGTGGATGAATCACCACCAGAATAAATATTGAAATAGTACAGATAAGGTGCACATGATCCTGCACTAAAGAAAAATGCATATGGAATGTAATATAGTATATCTTTCATAGTATGATGATATTGCATATGTTCCCACAACATCTAACAAAAACAAACTACCAATTCATGTACAGTCATAAAATGATAATGCGTATGGTCCCGCAACATCAAACAACAACAGACTGCGAATTGGAGTACGGTCATGAAAACAGTTGTGTAAGGTGTATGGTCCCACAATACAACAACCAAATGAGCATGTCTTTGGTGGTATGGTCCCGCACCAAAAGAAAATGCACATACAATTATATACTCATACAAGATGAAGCGTATGGTCCCGCAACATCAACCGTAAGCATTATGTAATGTGTATGGTCCCACAATACAAAGAGAAATTGCTTACAAAGTATATAAACCAGTCAAACATATAGGAGTTAATAAATGCCTACTCCAATAAAGTTTATGTAAGCTGTATTTATGTTGTTCATTGACCACAAAAAACAAACTGAATGTCTAATAATCATCAGTAAGTTTGATGAAACACATAAAGCATTTGACATTAAAGCCTATGACAGAATGTGATGCATGCACTCAATGACTTAAGTAGACCATAGTTATGGTCTCAGAATATGGAGGTGCATTATTTAAATAGAACATTTATATTGAAATACATCCCTGAATGTACTTAGTTACAGAATATGGTCATATATATGTAAAGCAATTGAAAAACAAGGTCAGACAAGCAGACTTAAGCAGAATGATACTGGCCTGAAATGTGTCTATGATGTAAGATAGCTGAGCGAACACTTCGCCAAAAACGATGCATAGGAGAGGCGGTCACAACAAGAGGAGATGGGGTAGGGCATCGGAGATGTACCCCGTCATGGCACAGGAATGTCAAGTCTTCCCAGAAGCCTCTATGAGGCCAGAAATGTACACCGTTCATAGCTGCACACTGTTCTTTTAGCATAACGTTGATGGCGACGATGCGATCGTTGAAGTCCGAAGACGAAGCCCAAGGCTGGCGGCGTAGAAGCTGGCCTACAATGACTGTTCGTATGCCCACACCCGAATGCAGATAAGACGCTAATGATAAAATATCACGCACAATCACTTCGTCACTATTCAACAGAATGTCATTCTCCCCAATCTGCATGAAGCATATGTGTGGCAACACATCAAAAGTCAACAAGTCTCTGGAACGAGCAATGCTAGAGATCCGTAAACCACCACGAGCCCGCACTGAAACACTATAAAGTCTATGGTGTAGCTTTAAATTCACTAAATCAGGATGTGAGTCCATATACCGCCGTAAACGAGTCACGAAAGAATGTCCAAGTAAACAGATTCTGAGTAAATTCGGCTCGTCCATGTTGTGACACAGTTCTCTCCAAACCGGATCGCGCACCATTACATAAACAAACTCAAGTCACTTACTGAAAAATGTAGTGAAACTCCTTTCCTGTTGTGAAATATCTGGCACTTCACGTTAATAAATGATCACAGCAAGGGACGGAAACTGTAGCACTACATAATTTACGTAGAACCAACTGGAAATGCGTTTTTTTTCGACAAAATTTTCCCTTGCAATTTAGCGTGGCTTTTTCCTCTGGTAAATAAATAAACAATGGTCACGTGATTGGGAGAAGCCACGCTGATTGGCTGTATATTAAGACAATGGTGTCATCGATCAAAAATAGGCAATTGATCCCGAGATAAATAGTTTGTAAACACCAAACAAAATTACAACAATTACCAAAATACAATCATGTCACATCAAAATTAAATTAAAACAAATAAAACAAATACAGTTTCTTTATCTCCGTCACATAAAGGATATTATCATTTGTAAATAATAATAACTGATTTAATTTATTGTTTATATTTATATATTTGCCTGGAATTTTCAACTCTGTGAAGGATTATTGTAAGCGTTGTGAACGTTGTGTAATTTCCAAGATGCCTCAACCAGCTGTACGCACTACAATGAATTATCTCATCGCATGCAAATTCTCGCGATCGACTTTACCGTTTTGGAACCAGGCATGGTAAAGAAAACGTCCTTCTGATGACTGATGTCTTTACAAAATTTACTCAAGCCGTTGCGACGAAGGACCAGAAAGCGGATACTGTTGCGAAAGTCTTCCAAATGAATGGTTCTACAAGTATGGTGTTCCAGATCAAGGCCGAAATTTTGAAGCAAACGCCATTGCTGAACTGTGTAAGATGTATGGAATTACGCGATCTCACACCACTCCTTATCATCCTGAGGGAAACGCTCAGTGAAAGATTTAACAGAACTCTGCACAACTTTATTAAAGGCTCTTACAACTGAACTTAAGCGACATTAGGCGAAACAATTTCCAGAATTACTTTTTTTGTACAACTCTATACAGAATTCATCAGCCGGATACAGCCCATTTTATCTTATGTTTGGACGTAATTCGAAAATACCCATCGATTTCTTACTTGGATCCTTAGACAGTGATGATGTCGATCAGATGTCTACCGATGAATGGATCAGACCGACTAAAGTATACGTTCGATAAAGGCAGTGTCCGTACATCCATGATGGCAGAATACATAAAGTCCAACAACGACAGTAAAGCATTCGAACCTGATTTAAATATTGATGATAAAGTGTATGTTTGAAACCCGCGGCAGAAAAAAAATCCAGGATTCATGGGGCTCTACTGCATATTGTTTTGGGAAAATTTCAGGAAATTTCCTAAGTGTTGTATCGGACAATGGCTGCCAGAAAACCTTATAAACTGCCGTGATGTCACCAAATGTGTTTCCTAGATGACAATATTACTTGTGTAAAAACTTTTCGTTATTATTATTGTATATATGTATTTTTTTTCTGGGGAGTATGTCTATTTGTTAATATTGTGTATTGGTTAAATATATATTTTTAATTTATCAAGACGCTAAATTTAGAGTTGGGGAGTACATGTATGTGGCAGAGTGATATTTATTAAAAAACATTTATCTCTACTTTTTTTCTTAAGAAATAGCTGAACCATTATTTACCATATGCCATATTTGCTAGTAGTCTATTCGAGGTTATTTCTTTCATTCATGAATTCTACTCATAAAATTTCATTGGCCAGCAAGTCTGTATCCCACAGGCTGGAGAGAATACTCGAAATCGGGTATTATCCGTCAAATCGCGTATAGTCCCCGATATCAGGGTATCGTTGAATCCGCGAAATCGGGTATCCCGTGCAACTTTCTGTAACAGCAAAAAATTTAAACAACGGCGCATAATGTCAGTTACTGTTACATGTACATCAGTATCTTGGGGATTTATTTTTATTGAATCCAATTTATGTGGCTGTTGACAAGTTTAAAATCACACGACAAACACTGCTGGGGTAGCACAGAAGACACGGTAGCGTCATTATTTTTCAATACAATTTCTAAAAATAAAAAATTACATGTTGTTTGTGTTTATTTCCCAATATATTATTCCGCAAGCTTAATTTCCTAACTCATGTATTATTCACAAAATGTAAAACTTTGTAGAAATTTAACGACTAACGCAGTGTTATGTTATTTTTACTTAGAAAAGTATGGCGCCCCTTTCACGTTAAATTAACATTATTCCTCAGTTGGTAAGTATTTCTCATCGATATAGAAAGCCGACGTTATCGTAAGGGGAAAATAAAATAAATGTTTTAAAAAAAAAAAAGGAACATATGGGAAAGGTCGAAAAATGATATAATATGAAACAAATTTTAATATGTACATGTACTTAAATAGATTTTTAAAATATATAAAGTGTTTAATTTCTAAAAACAAATAACTACATGTCGTTTGTGTTTATTTCCCAATAAATTATTCCTCAAGCTTAATTTCCTAATTCGCGCATTATTCAGAAAATGTAAAACTTTGAAGAAATTTAACGACTAACGCTGTCATATGTACGGAAGCCCATATAGGACCTATTAAAAAATATTTTTGAATTCGATATAACGAATTGTTGAATTTGTTATAACAAATTTAATTCGTTATAACAGTTTATTTGAATTCGTTATAACGAATTTAATCTGTTATAACAAATTTGTTGAATTCATTATAACGAATTCAAAAATTGGTTATAACGAATTAAATTCGTTAAAACAAATTCTGAAATTTGTTATAACAAATTAAATTCGTTTAAACGAATTCTAAAATTTGCTATAACAAATTGAATTCGTTTGAACGAATTCTAAAATTTGTTACAAGGAATTAAATTCGTTTAATCAAATTCAACAATCAGGGCCTGTAGAAAAATATATATGAATTCGATATAACGATTTGTCGAATTCGTTCTAACAAATTTAATTCGTTATAACAAATTAAAGAATACATTTTAACGAATTTAATTCGTTAAAATTAGAATTCGAATTTTTCAATTCGTTATAACGAATTCAACAAATTTATCATAACAGATTAAATTCGTTATAACGAATTCAAAGAAACTGTTATAACGAATTAAATTGGTTATAACAAATTTTACAATTCGTTATATCGAATTCAAAAATATTTTTTGATAGGTCCTAAATGGGCTTCCGTAGATATGTATTGATATATAGGTAAAGTAAAGATTATATAGTAAAATCATCAGTTCTCCCTATGATGTATGTATGCAGCGCAGTCCTGCAATTCCCGCGAGAAAAGAGGAGGCGCTAAGTTTTTAAGAAAACTAATTAATGTCAATTTAGCATGGAAAATTTCATTCAAAGACACATTCAATGTATTGCTTGCATTTTGATCGATGCAAGCGACGTTACTTTACCTGTATGTGTTTGTGTGGAAATTGAGAGCAAGAAGTCATGTTGAAAGGATTTTTTGGCTTGGGGGAGGGGGAGGGGGGGGGTCATATAAATAAAAAGTCCAATTCGGATTCATGTGCTAATTTTACATTCCCAATATAGAGCTAATATTCAAATATGAATTTCATATTAAAGTTTTCACATATCTTATTTTGTAAATAATTATGAACAAACTGAAATGGAACTTCGAATGTAATTCCTCATCGGATATTAAAATTTCATACAAATTGGAGCCACTTCCTTTTTTTATTATAATATTGGATAGACAGGGTAGATTTTCCCTTTTGAAGTATAGTTTACGGTTATCGCTTTATTATACCTCATTATAATATTTTACAAAACGCGTTGTTTCTAGACAGTACGTCACGCGACATGGAAATAAAACTTCATAACTCCCTGTCTTTTTTCTATTCTTTTCATCATTATATTTAGCTATTTTCAATACTTGTCGTACGTGGTAGAAAATCATAGGGTGCTATTTTAACCTCGTATTGGTTTGGTATATAAGCAATTACTGCATGAATGTATTGGAGATATGAAGAATTCTATTCACTCAAAAGGGCAATATAGGGAAAATGATTTTTATTAGTTGAACAGATCTTCCCCCTTTATCATGCAATGAATATATAACATTCAATGACGTTTAGACCAAACTCTGCAATGAAATTTTATATATATTTTTTAAATTACTTTGAAAGGGGGTGTCCCTTGGACACATGCATAACACATTCGAAGTCGTTTTTTTGCTTGTCTGAGATGGGCCGAGTAGTTGCGATCGGACAAGAAATAATTGAAAAATGAATTTTTCCCTAGTAATCAGTAATAACAACCCCCCGAAATCGCCGAAAAATGGTAAAATATTGCCGACTCAGCAAAATTAAACGATCAATAGTTATTTTCTCTCACAAGCTGTGTTGCTAAGAACATCATTGTCGTTGCTAAAACGTAGGAGGCATGTTGAATCCTAAGGAAATTTTAATATTTTTTTTTAAAATTACCTTTATTTGTCATTCTCTTTTTGTAAAGCATATGTACTGGTACATGTACATGTACAAGATATATATGAAAGGAATGCTATTCTGCAAATATGTATATATGTAAATGATAAAAAAAAAATCAACTCATGAAAATAGATTCGTGACCCCCCCCCCCCCCCCCCCCCGATGCAACGATACCCCGATTTCAGGAACTATACGCGATTTCACGGATAATACCCGATTTCGAGTATTCTCTCCAACCTGCCCCAGTGTAAATCTTATTTAACCGGTTTTTCTTCTATAAATATTGTTGCACTGGTCCATTCCTATCAGTGTTGGAAATTTAACTCTTTACAATTTACCAGCTGCCCGTTGTCACAACTAGAAAGGTAAATTTTTTGTCAATTTTTTTGTACGCAATTTATTTGAAATCCAAAAATAATCTTAATTATAATTTTTTTTTCATATTTCTGATAAGACCGTTTTTAAACTATTAAAGTTCTACTTCTGGGCTGAGTAAAGTTAAATTTTCTTATTTTTGAAGTGAAATAAAATATATTTGTCTTCAGAAAGAGTATATCGATATTATTTTCAAAGTTTACTAGTTTATTATTTGTATTTGAATATATTTGAGATCTGCCATAATTCCTTTTTCATTTACCTAATAAATTAATAAAACATGCATTCTTACTCCGCTTGGTTATAGTACAATAATTATTGTTATTATAGATTTTCTTTTTACAAAGGAGATTCAGTCATGCAGTACAGGTATTAAATATGAACATACAATGTTTATAAGTAGTCATGTAATGTAAGCTTTTAAAGGAGCTGGGACACAGATTTGAAGCTCATATTTTCTAGAATTTTCTAAACAATATCATTACTTATATGTTGCTAGAGCATTTCACACCGAAATATATTTAAAGCGTTTTAAGAAAATTTTTTTAATCTTGAAATTATTAAAACTACAATTTTCGGGACGCTTTAGATTGACATATGTCCTTGCACTTTCACAAAGTAAACTTTATCCTTAATACTTAAGAGAAGTAGAAACTTTGTTGTATATTAATGAAAAAAAATGTAAACTATAATCCAGAAAGTTCAGAGTAGAAATGCGAGAAAGCAAAACCAACTCATGTGTATTATCAGTCCGTGTTCAGTGAGGTGTGCTGACTTAACAAAATGAACACACCCGGTAAAACGTTAACACTAACAATAACAGAGCTCTTGCCCTGTTTACAATCACAGGTGTTTGACGTGATGTTATGAAGAATGTCGTTGTCATTGAATTCTTAGAATATGTTCATGTACGTTCAAATCATTAAACTGAAATTATTTTTTAAAATAAAAATAGACATTAATTTTAAATTGTAAACAATGCAACTGTGTCCAGGCCCCTTTAAAAACAAGATCTAAATACTTGCAGGGGGTGATAGTGATGATACAAAAAATTAAATGCAAAATTGCAGTAACAAAAGATAAATGCACAATTGCAAGCTTAAACGTTTACTCTCTCTCTCTCTCTCTCTCTCTGTTCGCATGCTCTTGGGTTTAGTCAATGATCTTCATTCTGTGGTTTTCTGTAACCTGGTATTCTGGAAAATAGTTCCTGGCCATGTTGATCGAGTTAAAATTTAGGTGTTACTCCATGAGGATTGTACACAACACCTGCTGTGTGCTGTCTCTTTCCTAAGAAAATTATAATTTAGAACATTATCAATTTGAAAAAGAGATGACTATGAGACGCACACTATGATTTCAGTTTGCGCTCTCAGAACCTATTTTTCAGATCTAGAGGAATTCAAGTAATATTTTGTGTAGGGTCGGTAGGCATTGATATTAATTATATTGATCAGCATCACATATGTTCGTATATACAATAAAATATGAAGTAAAACCAAACCGCCAGACCTAGTTATGAAATTTATAGGCCCATTCATAAAATAACATTCATTTTAGCTACATGAATATTCATTGCTCTTTCTGACAAATAAATATGACTGTAATGAAACCCTTATCATAATCCAAAGATAAAGATTATCGAAATTTTACTATTTGAATCTTAAATATCGGAGTAATACTGTAGTAAGCTCTACCACTGCATTTTGACAATATATGACAATGTAAAATGAATGAAAAACATGATAATTTTGAATATAAAAATTTTCCTTTTTTGAAATCTGACCATTCATTACAATCTAAACACAGTGGGGTTCTTTCTCTGTCAACCTTCAAGCATTGTATGTAACCTGTACGAAGATAAATAGACAAAAAGAATTTTAAAATGTCGGCAACTTTGTTGTTAGCACCGATCATTGTCTTGACCTTTTGATACTTTAAAAGATTATGTAAAGTTCCAGATCATCTGTCAAAAATAAAAAAAAAGGCCGGAAAGTGTAAATTATCCCTATTTAGAAAGCAGTATGGAGGAAAAGAACTTCAAATTATTTCATTTTACCACAGTCTAAACTCATTTTATTGTTCAAATTTGGTTTCAAATCGGCAAGATTCTTTCAGGAATAAACAGAAGTAAAATATGGTTAAGATATAAAAACAACAATGGCGTCCGAAAAAGACCGAATCCTGGCGTTAAATGCAATCATCCTTTTTGAAGACAACAGGGAAAAGAAAGACCAGACACTTCTTAGAAATTGGCTTCAATCTTTCGTTCAGGTGCACAAAAATTCAACGAATAAAACTTTGTTGTCCTAAAGTGAAATGCCATCTTCCGTTCTAACTGATTGATTTTAAATGCTTATCAAATGATATTACATGAATCATGATACTGAAATTACCAAGTCAACAAATACTTACTGTAACAAAAGATAGCGATGACGACACACGCAATAATGGCAATTACAACGACGATAGGACCGATGATCACGCTGAAATAAAAACGAAAGAAAATGATAATTTTATCAATTTGAAAACATTTTTCGTTGTATTTGTACAATATTTAGAAAAAAAAACCCATATTTTTTAGTGGGATACAATTCTGGTTTAGTTCTTAAGGAGATATACTTATGCCACTAGATCGTATCATTTTAAACCTTGAGTTATTGCCAACCGTCTCAAAATTAGTCAAAGGCACATCTCCTGGAAATGCTTTAGTAGCAATTGCAAAGGGCAAGGATTCGGCGCCTATAAATAGCTGGAAACAGTACCTACAGGATGGACACACTGGCTCTCCGGTCTAGGGGATTGAACTAAGCGCTAACAACCATAGCTCCTAAAAAATCATTTTTTTTAAAACATTTGATAGACATCATCACGAGTTTCTCCGTCAATATCAGATGAAGCGTTGGAAATAGTAACATCGTAAAAGGAGTAAAACGAGCCTATCAAGGCTTTGTAATGTCATTGAAATTTTTCTTCATAGCCGTAATGAGTCATGATGAATATTTAATCTGACTTACCAACAAGCATCGGATTTAAAGCAATCGAGAACCCAGACTTTGTATAGATTGCATTACATTTTGTCGCACACAAATCATGAGATTTCATACAAAAAGTCACACCTATTTTCTGGTATCAAGTCTAATATCATAAAATACATTTTACGAGATATTATGGATATACTATTAATTGAACAGTGCATGTAAATCAGATGACCATACTCCTGTATGATAATTACAGTGTTTTAGTGACAATTAATTACAAAAACAAAAACATCTTGTTTTATCTGTATTCAAATGAAGTGCTCTTTGTAATTGCTAACTGAATAAATAATACTTTTCCCCACTCTTAAGGTTAAACTTGATAAAAAAGAGACGCCAATCTCATGTCCTAGAATAATATAACTGTCTTTTCTCTTTACAGTCCCTGAATCCTAGCCCTCTTTATGTCAGATACAATGTTATACATGTATGTATAATGTGTTACTATTGCAAATGTTTAGCTACAACAAAGATCAATTAAATTTCAAATTTAAGTTAATTTTTGGGTCAAATACAGATTTTCTATTCAAAAATGCATTTTTAAAAAATTCCTGCATATTCTAGCCTCACCCTCGAGTTATCTTTTAAAAATTGATATAGAATTCATTTTTTTGCAAAAAAAAAAAAAAAAAAGGACGATTCATACCCTATACTGAGACAAGAAGAGCCTCCGGTACACATATAACCAGGAGGGCAGCACCACACAGTTCCGGTACAACATTTGTAGTTTGGGTCTGTACAATCACTGTCACTGGTACAAGTCCCATCCGGGTTGGATGCTGAAGTAAAAAATCCAATTAAATTAAAAAAAGGCTATTAAGATCGGCACCGTATACACTCTGCGCAAGATGATCGACATAACTCAGCTTACACAAAGTGTATTCGGCGCAGATCTAGGAAGATTTTGAGGAGACTGGCAGGAAATTCAGTTGTATACAAAACAATACAAATGTTCCTCTGTATTTTACAAGGGTTCTTTCTCCTCTTATTGAAGTTCAATGAATGTTGAAATCTAATTTTGAATAAGATCTGTTGTCAAATTGAAATCAATGTATATGTGTCTCGAAAAATCATTTTGTCATTTTATAATTTTATCATACATAAAATATTAATGTTATAGAAATATATATAAAATAAATAATGTGTGTGTCTGTGTGTCTCTGTGAGGGTGTGTGTCAGTGTGTGAAGAGGATTGAGCTCAACTCTTATCGAGTCCTTAACGTTTATGATACAAACTGCAGAAAAGACCGTTTCCTTCGTCAAACCTTAGTATTAAAAGGTAAAAATTACATGTCCTCGGGATGAGATTTTTTTAAAAAAAAAAAAATTAGTCTCGTACATGTTGCACTAGGCTCTGATATGAAGCATGTTCATAATCCCCACTGCATTGGTTGAAATCAGTATTAAGGGTCTAAATTGACTGCTTTTTAAGCAGACGACATCGCAATATTAAAAACAATTAGCTGTTATAGTTTTTTTAAATGACGAATTCATGCAAATCACTCAACAATAAATGGTATTAATTCTGATTGTAACATGTACTGGAAATCTTAAATTTGTTTTAGCTCAAAAGTCCATTGAAACAATAAAAAATTGGAGCAGAGCAAACAAGAACCTCTAAAAACATCTGAAGTGGGATCAGGTGCCATAGATGAGTAAGCATCCCCTGTCGAAGGGTCACACCCGCCGTGTGCGCCTTGTCATGATCGGGAAAACGGAAAAAATCCGTAGACAATTCAGGGTGTAAATAATGGCCTAACAATTTGTATGGGAAAACGTCAGTCAACAATCGATTTAATGGTAGATTGTATTTGCTGACAAGATCATTGTATCGACCATAGAGTTTGTGAAATGCTGACTTTAAAAGAGACTGTTGATATCCTTGTTTCATCAACTTGTTTGTCAGTAACTTACCTCGTTTTAGAAATTGTTCGCACATAGAGCATGCTCTTGCGTAAGGAATCAACTGGTAGACATAGCTCGATATACAGGTGATAAGGGTATATTGCTACATAAATAAGGGAAGTTGTCGATAGAAAAGTTGAGTCATCATGTGTATCATAAAGTTTTGTTGTTACGTTTCCATTAACGTTCTTTTCCAGTAAAATATCTTAATATGAAGCAGATGTGTCAGATTCTGCATATTTATTATATTTTTTAGGCTAACGGCCCTCTGGCTGATATTGGTTCCTCGTGCTGATACAGGGTGTGACATAGAATAAGGTATGTATTATTTACGTATTTTTCTTAAGGAATACGGGCAAGGACCTGTATACCATGATTATTTCCAAGAAAGATTTTGTTTATCGCTAATATTAAAGGAGTGCCCTTTACAAGATTAAATGTTTCTTTTGTCCTATGTGCTGTACAGATTTCCTGTACGACTTGAACAGTAAATAATTGTATTACAGATGGATCTGAGGAAACTTCCTTAAAAAGTTGTCAATCCCGACAGGAAATAGTCCTGAAGCACTTATATGAAATGTTCTATATTAATGCGGATTTTCAATTCAATAATTAGAAAGTGAAATAAGAAATACATTGTAGATAGAGTACACGATCAATATATACTGGTCCCAGCTGACAATTGACTTCGTTTGTAAGGTTCAGTATTAATTTATATTTTCGAGGAGCTTGCATTTAATTCTACAATTCGTAATCCAATTTATATTCATAGTTCCCATTCTAGGGAGGAAAGTCTTCATAATCATATGTCAGTCCAAACTATCAAGTATTCCAAACTACTAAAAAACCAAACTTCATAAAATTCTTACAAAGAAAGATACACAGTAGGTTCTTAAAAATTCTCTTCGAACTCCTCACGAAAACATTAGTTGAGAAATTTTGGAAGTACTTTACAACAACGTATTTGAGAACTGTTGTAAATCAGATGTAGATACTTCAAAATCCCAAGAAACTTTTAGAAAAATTTGAAAGCATAAAATTTTACCCAAATTAGTAGCATCAAAACGTACGACTTTTTACAACTATTCCCCATTATAAATTAAAGACCCGACTTTTTGACATAATATGCAATTGCTTCTTCTTCTTAAAAAAAAAATGAATGAATAAATTAATAAATAAAATTCGTTAATTTGCATATCTAATATATAGTCATCTGCAACTTATTTTGGTAAAAACCATTCTGATCCTACAAACAATTATTCCGATAAATATTTATTTTCATTCCCACGTCATGTTGATTTAATATATTCCATTGCACTCGACAGTCTGGCACATCAGTGTGTCATATTTGGATGTTTCAAGAGAGAAAAATATTCACGGAAAACTAACAACTAGACTTTTTACTAGACTTTTTGATGAGCGTGATCAACTTTTTCTCTATCGTCAACTTCCATTATTTATTTAGCAAAGGAATGTACTTTTATCTCTTACATATGGAGTTTATGGCTCCCAGCTGATTAGATACACAAAAGCATGTTCTACGTACGAACATTTTTTTTAAACGATACAATTTATTGACTAAAAGGTTCGAAATTTGAAAAAAAAAAATCAATCACTGTTTTTGTGCAGAAAAGTTTGACTAAATTTATGGAAGTAAAACCCAATGAATTCTACGTTTATCTATGATACTCTAGTAGATGCACATTTCGTTCAATGTGCATAAATATTGATGAATACAAGTTTATTTAAAAAAATTGCTAGGAAATATGTAACTGCGCTTAAGATAATAACTTAAATTTGATTGAATTTAACCGATGGCTAATTCTAATTTTTTTTTCTCTAAGAGATCATTTTAAAACTGGGAAAAATCCTAAATATTTTTTTTAACATTTCGAATTTTAAGTATACCTACTTACCAAGTGTAATACCAGATATACATGTAAGAACAAGCAATGAATATCTTAACATGTCCAATCTAGCTTTGTAAACACTGTTCATTGAAAGTATAATTAATTCGCAGTAAGTGGTAGTTTATATATTGTAAGTTGACTTCCGACACAGAACTATCCTTATTTTTATTTGCGTCATTGTATCTAAATTTATTATACTTTAAGTTGCAAATCTTTTCAGTGAGAAGAAAACGTTGCATTGAAGGAAAAAAGTATAAAGAAATTTTTATATTTGTTGTCGTTATTTCGATGATTGTGGAACAAACACAATTAAACTGAATTTTTAACAAGACCATTTGCAAGTGCGGGAACAGTATAAATTGTAATTATGTATTCCTAACATCTTGAAAATTATATTGCACTTTACATGCATGAATAAGATAAAGGCTCTTGTTATTAGTTAAAATACTGGGCTATAATCGTTTGCACAACTTAAAAAAAGTGTGTTACCATCGATAAGCGACGCGGAAGAGCCATCGAATCTGACCATCAATAATCATTACAAAAGTAAGTTTAGAAGTGATCATCAACCCGAAAGACACTCGGCCAAAGGAAAATCAGAATTTCTTTTCAAATGAAGCTGACACAAAAGATGTCAGTAAAATTTAAAACTTGAGTGCTAGCAAATTAAAGGGTTTGGGCTAATAATTATATCGAGAATGTAGTGTTGTAAGTGGTGAGCGATAACCACTTCATTCCTTAAAGGAATGGCTGCATAAATCTTTTCAGAATGATGAAGAGTTGAACGGGTCGTGAATTAGCTATGTAGCTTGATATAACTTATCGAGACAGCTTTTTCTTAAATGAGCAATATAAAGTATTAAAAGTCGCGTTTGGTTATGCGCTCATTTTCAATGAGGAAATATTTTGAAAATCTGTATGAAAAAAAATAGCTTTTCAAAATGTGTTTCCTTCTGAGCATTTGCGATCAAAGTTCTTGAAGTTTTGGGACTAAATGTGACAAAACAGTTATTTCGTGATTTAGATTAGAAGGAAGGCCAACTCTGGTTAACAAATTGATTCATAGTTAATTATTAATAATAATTCGGCACAATGTGAAGTAATCATACTTATCCATACCCAACAGCGCACAAGGTGGTGTACAGTTACACAAACAATGGAATTATTTTTGCTAGAATGTGTTTAAAAACAACACTGTTTAATCGCTGACTTGATTTTTTTGATAGTCCATATTGTACAAATATAAAAGGGTACATACTTACGACTCTTTGTGATTTCATTATAAAGCATGATTGTGAAAACTGCATTCAAGTAGCTTGGTCGATGCATTTGGAATGCCCTGTAAAAGCCTTAAAGCTAATTCAAGCTATGTTTTAGCAATTCAAGAGACTGTGCTATATCTGTTAAACATATTTTACTATGTTAATTATCTCCACCCTTCAAATGTTATCACTGATGCCACCTATGCAGATTCTATAACCATATATTGTATCTTATCTCTTTTAAAATATATATCACAGATACAATAGGGTTGATTTAAAGAAACTTAAGGATACTTTACACTTCGTCGCCCGCGTGGCGCAGTGGTTAGAGCGTCTGCTCTAGAGTCGCGGAGTAAGGAGTTGATCCTTACGTCGCGGGTTCGAATCCCACTGTGGGACGTGGAGACAGGTCTTTCGGATGAGACCGTATAAACCGAGGTCCCGTGTCGCAGTAGGTGCTGGCACGAAAAAGATCCCTCACTGCTCAATGGCCGTAAGTGCCGAGTATAGGACAAAATTTGCAGCTCTCCACCGGCAAGTGGTGGCGTCTCCATATGAGTGAAAAATTCTCGAGAGGGACGCTAAACAACATACATACATACTTTACACTTCACTTTATGGAACTCAGATATCGGCTGCAAACTGACCGGTAATATTGTTGTAATATTAAGTATTTTAAAAATCCTACAGTGTTCACTGGCATAAAATCCAAACCTAAAGGTTTTTTTTCCCATGGTGGTGGACTTCTAAGATCAGTTTGATTAAACTACGCATCCAAAAGTTAAGAAAGAGTCCTCAGTGCATAAAACTTTTTACATTAATAATTTAAAAAAAAATGAAAATGATAAAACTTCAAGTACAACAGGGGTGCATTTCTTTTTACAAAAATTTTGCCAGATTGATGAAATGTAATTTCCAATTTAAAGAAATTGTTTCCTGTCAGGAACTGCCTTTCGTCAGACAAAGAAATTGCCTTAATTCTTTAAAAGTTTTCCTCTTTACTCACGAGCAGAAAGAATGCATAGTAATAACAGACAATTCTTAAAGAATGATTGATTTGTGTTGTTTTACGTCCCATTCGAGAATTTCTTTTAATATAGAGACGTCACCAAGTACGGTGAACAGCTTCAAATGCAGATATACTCTGAATTCAGGGCCTTTGAGCAGTGATGGTTCTTTATTATGCCAAGACGTACAGGAACACGGTACCTCGGTTTTTAAGGTCTCATCCGAAAGACCCGTTGTGCCGGGCTCTTGACGAAGGATCAGACACTGCCGATGTTTACGGGCCAAAAAATAAATATAAATTGTGAAACCTTCTTGCACATATACAGGATACCATCAATCATATTTCAAAAGATGAGTTGGCTACTGCGAAAAATGTAAGAGGATTTCTGGGAAGCAGAATCGTTTTTATAAACGCCTATTTTGACACTTTATTGACCCCAAAGAAAAATTAAAAACCCTCATTGCATATATACAAGGCATCACCAATCATCTTCTAAAATACGATTTGGTTACTGAGTAGATGTGAGAGGAGTTGTGAGAACGAGTTTATTTTTTAGGAAAAAAAAAGTTTTCAACACCCAATTTCCCCATGGGGAAAACGAAAATGTGCATTATTGGACATCTAAAAACATTCCATCATACCATCATCTAAAAACATCTTCCAAAAGATGATTTGCCTATTTCGTAAGATATAATAAAAGTTCTAGGAACCAGGCTTTGTAGAAAACGTTTTTGAACCTCAAATGGTTCCCAGGATGAGAATGAAAACTCTTTAATCTTGTTGCACGTCTATATGACATGACACTACCAATCATCTTTCAAAAAATGGTTTGGTTACTTTTCAAAATGTTCGAAGAGTTTGAAGAAGAAAGTGTGACAGACGGACGAACGGAGCGATCAAGATAACAATACATGTATACACGAACTTTGTTTTTGAAAGTTCGGGTATAATTGACATATTGAATGTACAGATTTCCGAAATAACATCTTTTGTAATACTAACATACATGTATATTTGATCTGCTTACGTAAAAATAGAAAATGGAATTATGGTTAATTGGGTAACTCGAATGATTATCAGCTTAAATGTTTAACATTTCCAATGAAGTCAAAGTTATTTTGACTTGTTTTTAATACAGTAACTGTATTGTTTTTTTACAATATGTCGAGTGTTTCTTCTATTGAAAAGAATTTGGTAGAGAAAAGTTTGAGTTATATGTTATAAATTCTCATTATACATAAAATATAATTAAGATTAAAATCAGTTATACAACTGATATTTGAGTCTCCAAAGCAACAAACTCATCGAGGAAAAGTAAACACATGCAAAGAAATAATTCAACGACTCAAATAGAAATGTTTACTATGGATAAACTTTTACATGCATTTTAGGTGATAATATTAACTTAAAGAGTATATATGAAGGTAATAATTTAAAGAACTCCAAAACGAGAGATAAATACAGTAAAATCACATTTTTTCGTGGGGTCAATTTTTTTGTGGTTTGATGAAAAAATATGGGTTCATGGGGATTTGATTTCGTGGATGAAGAATTGTTGAATAGTAATGAATGTCAAACATTACATTTTGTGGTAAACATAAATTCATGGGTCTCTTCATACCTCGAAAACAACGAAAATTAAACCCCCATGAAAATTTGTGCTTTCACAGTATTGAAGTATTTCAACCTAAAGAAAACAAAATTTAAACACATGCACACACACACACACACAAAATTAAAAAAAAAACAATAACGTAAGATAAGGTCTCTCTCTCTCTCTCTCTCTCTCTCTGTGCAATCTTAAAACTCTTCTAGACCTATAGTTCCCCTTAAGCAACTAGAGGTTCCTGTACAGACATAACCAGGAGGACAGCACCATATAGTTCCGGTACAGCATGTGAAATTTGAAAGTACACAATCACTATGCTTGTCACACGTCTGGGTTAAGTGCTAGAGAAAGAAAAACAAACAATTATATACATGTAGGTTTGATAGTAATTTTAATTATACCCACACTTTCTACAGAACGTTCAAGTATATTGTTGTTATCTGGTCCGTCCGTCCAGCTGTCCGTCCGTCTGTAACACATCTTCTTTCTAAAAATATATCTACAGTTTAAACATCTGTTCCTTTGGATGAAACAGTGCCATAAACACATAAGTCCCGAGTCGCAGTGGGTGCTAGCCCGAAAAAGATCCTTCATTGCTCAAAGGCCCTAAGTGCCGAGTACAGCTCTAAATCTGCAGCCCTACAACGGCAAGTGTTGGCGTTTCAATATGAGTGAAAAATTCTCGTAGGGGCGTTGAATAAACAAAGTCAACAAATCTATTGGAATATAATTGGTGGTCCCCGGTACTTGCATTATTTTTTTTTCAATTTTTCATTTTCACATGGGAAGCAAATGGGGTTAAAAAGAGACGTTTTTCTTACAAAAACCTGGTTCCTTGAACTCCTCCTACATTTTTTGTAGTAGCCCATCCATATTTTGGAATTGAATTGAGAGTGTCCTGTATATGTTCCAAAGGTTTTGGATTATCTTTTTTTTTTTTTCAACCTTGGGACCGGCAATTCGAGGTAGAATTTTTTTCTACAAAAAGCCGGTTCCCTGATCTCCTCTTATATATTTTGCAGTAGCTAAATTGTCTTTTGAAATATGATTGCTGGTGTCCTATAACTGTACATTGAGGTGTATTCTCATCGGGGGGGGGGGGGGGAGGATGGGGTACAAGAAAATGACGGTTCTAGTTTTTTTTTTAAACAACAAACTAGTTTTCTGAAGTCCTCTTACATTTTTTGCAG